AGAGGCAGAATGAAGTGAGAATCAGAAACTAGAGAGGTAAAAATGCTCTGAAGTCACAGCACTCAGGATATTTGCTGAGTTTAACTGCCTAAAAGTTTATATTAATGGTCTGAAAAAATCCAAGAGACAAACCATTGGGTCCACAAAAGATTAGGGATTAACAATGAACCTCTTCACAAAATCAGAACTATCCAAGGCCTATATTTCAGAGACAGGGGGAAAATTAATCTGACCTCAAAAGAAAATTACAAGGAACATCTTATTCTTGCCCTAGACTCTCAAAAGGAGAAAAAAGTGCTAGAGATAATTCATAATTCCAGAGGAGCCCCCATGCATGTAAGAAACTGCAGAATTAGACCTGTTCTCCAGAAATTGAAAGTGCTGAATGATACATATAACATAAATGCTTGAAATATATGAAAACATAAAATCAAAACCATGAGAAAGGGACTATATACAAATTTTTTAAAAGTAAAATCTAGAGATGAAGGAATATATCAAACTTCTAGAAATAAAACAATATAATAAATTATAGTAAAATCTTAGAGGAAAAAAAAAATCTTAAAAGCAGCCAGAGAGAAATTACAAATTACTTACAAAAGGAACAACAATGAGACAGATGTCAGACTTCTCAAGAGCAATAATAGAAACCAGAAGTCAGTGGAATAATATCTTCAGAGTGCTGAGAAAAAAAGAATTGTCAGTATATACCCATTAAATCATCAGGCAAGAATGAAAGTGAAACAAGGTTATTTTGCAACAACAACAACACAAAAAACCAAGAGCATTTACTAACAACAGGCAACCCCTAATGTAGTATTTCATGATATATAAAATGATCCTAGTCTGAAGGTATGATGGAAGAGGAATAGTATACAAATGAAAGGATAATCGTGAATAAATCTACAAGCAAACGTTGTCATTATAAAACAAAAATAATGTCCATTGTGGGAATTAAAAAGGAAACAGAACTAAAACACCACACGACAATAATAGATTAGATGGGAAAGACTGATCAAAGTTAAAGCATCCTGAGATTCTGTATATTGTCCTGTGAGAAGATATACTCTTTGTTAAGAACATATTTGTTAAATGACACAAACAATAATGATAACGATTAAAGGACCAAAATAGGCAGAAATACTCCCAAAATATTTAAACTCACCAGTAATCAAAGGAATACATTACTCAATTTTTAACTATAAATTGAGATATTTTTAAGTGATAATATCTAGTGTTGCTAAAAGTATAGAAAGAGTACAGTCATACATTGCTCGTATACTCAGGTAAGAATTTTGTGACAATGATATATAATTGACATAAGAGATGTCAATTTCTCATCTTTCTTATATAATCTGAACTCACTGCCACAACAGCCACCAATTTATTTCAAGGTAGACACAATCCTTAATATCTGTGTTTCTCAACTTGTTGGTCTTAAAACCCTAGAGATGAGAATGGAGCATATCATTTACTACAAGATAAACTCTATAAAGCAGTATACAATTTAAATATTGTATGTGGATTGAATAATTTTAATGTTAATTAAAACATTTAAGATCCAATAAAATATTTAATTTCTATTAATATTTCTTAAAACATCATTACAATCAATAAAAACTACAAAACTGCATTTGCGTTAAGACGAATAAAGTGCATGTGATAAAAAATTAAATATAACCATTAAAAATATATAAAGTGTATATCTTCCAAACTAAACAAGGGGTAAAATGGAATTCAAAGAACAAAAATAAAAACAAAAAACTCTTCATCCTGATTAAGGAAAGATATTTAAAAAGCAAAAAAGAATATTAAAAAGTAATTAAAAAAACATAAGGGAGATATAAATCCAATCATATTGGCAATAACTATTACATGAAATGAACTTTCAAATTTTAAAAATAAATTCTCAGATATCATATTGCAGTGGTTACCAACTGGGTCTGAACATATGAACGTGTCCCATGCCCAGAAAGATTGTTTTAATTGGACTGGGGTGTGGCCTGTAATTTGGAATTTTTAGGACTCTAGCTATTTCTTAAGTGCAAACAAGTATGGAAATCATTTTCATATTTTTTCCAAATTGGTTATGCCAATTGATACTGCCATCAGTAAGGTATAGAACACTTTTTTAAAAAGATATAATTCATATACCTATAGTTCATTTAAAGTATACAATCAATGATTTTTAATATAGTCACTGAGAGCTGTGCAATATCCACCACAATCTAATTTTATAACATTTTATCATCTCAGAAATAAACAAACCCCTGCCTGTTAGCAGTCATTTTCAATGTCCTGATTCTTATTCTCCAATCCACGCCCACTTCTCAGTCTCCACATCCTCAGTGCTGGGCAACCACTAATCTTTCTGTCTCTACAGATCTGTTATGGATATATTATATAAATGTAATCATACAGTATGTAGTCTTTGTGTCTGGCTTCTTTCACTCAGCACGTATTCAAGGTTCATCCATATTGTGGCACATATCAGAACATCATTCCTTTTTATTGCTGATGGTCCATTGTAAAGATATACCATATTTTATCCATCCATTCATTTGCTGAGGGACCACTGGGTCATTTCCACTTTTTGACTACTGTGAATAGTGAAGTATATTAAGTTGTGAAGACTTGGTAATGTCTGACTTCTTCATTTTTTGCCAATCTAGGGTGTGTAAAATAATGATCTCACTGTGGTTTTAATATGCATTTCATGATGGCTAATGAGACTGAGCATTTTCCATGTTTACTGACTATTTTTATTTCTTTTTCCTTGAACTGCCTATAAATGTCTTTTACCCAATTTTTCATAAAGGTTATTTACCTTTTTCTTATCAATCTATAGGTTTTTTTTATATTCTAGACATTAATTTCATTGTCATCAATATGCATTACAAATATCTCCACCCAGTTCATAGCTTGTCTTTTACTTTTTGTATGATGTCTTTTTATAAAGACAATAATTTTCATGCAAATTTATCAATCTTTTAATGATCATTTTTAAAAAGAACTAAACAACCTTTAGAAATGTTCTATTTGGTTGTCTCTCAAATATTTTCCTTTATGAAAATCTCTTATTGCTAGTCATTTTTGTGATTGAATTTCTTTTAACAGTTCGCCAATAGTTTGTATTTACATCTAATAATTCTAATATGTGAAATCTTCTGCCATGTAATCTGTTGTTTCTTTAGATTATCTATTATTCACCTGTGACCTGTTTCCTTGTGGATTTAATCTTCATGAGCTCATTTTTTTTGTTGATCTTAATCTGTGACCAGTCTTAAGCCCTCTTACTTTTCCCCAGAGAAGATTTACATTTGCTTTAGTCAGGAATCAGAGGCACCACCTTAGAGAATAAAATTTCAACTCCTTTTTTTCTTTGCCTATCTTTATCTCTTATTACTCTATTGATCACTCTTCTTCAGATATAATGTTTTTCTGTTCCTCCTACAAAGTTAATGCCCATCCCAAACCCTTTACACTTACCACTCCATCTGCCTGGAATACTATACCCCCAGATAACTGGTCTGACTCATGCCCTTATTTCAGTAAAGTCTGTGTTCAAATATTACCTCCTTAGAGAGGCTTTTCCAAAATCTACCTATCTAAAATAGTCCATCCTCACTCCCCATTTCTTTATTTGTCTACTCTACTTTATCTTTATTTATACTGCTTATCACTACCTGCAATTGTTGTACTTATTAAACGAATAAATAAATGTATATAGGTACATATATATGTGCACATGTACACATATTTTTGTTTCATATTTTGTATTTCTCCCACAAAAATGTAAGTTTCGGTAGAATAGGAACCAGCGCTTCTGCCTGGGAGAAAGCCTCACCTCTGGCCCTCGCTCCAAAAAATCAGCGTTCCCCTGTAAGTCCCTGGTGCCCCACGAGCAGCCAACCCAGTGCTGGTGCTCAGAGTGAGCAGGTCAGTCTGAGTCTCCCAGTCTTACTGGCATGGCTTTGTGCAGTAGGTGTCCAGTGGTCCAGTCTTGAGAGGGGTATAGCTACAGGCCAAGTTTAGCCCCAGCCTGTACTTAGCCCCAGATTTGCTTAGTATGTAGACTGTGAAAGTCCGGTTGCAGACTCGGCCCCTTTCAGAGGCATCTGCAGCTGCCACAGCCTCTGTTCCACTCAGCCGCTCGGGACCGGGCAATCTCACATCTTTGCCCCCTCCTACTTCCATCCATTGAAGGGTGATTTCTTATTTCTCTCCCTAGTTGTAGGGCTTCTGTTCATCTAGACCCCAGGAAATTCCGTCTGTTTGCTCTGTGTTTCTGTCACAACTTGGTTGCAAGAGGGATGAACAAAGTTACTATTGTCTACACCATTTTGCCTGGTCAAAAGTTTTAATTTACATAGACTCTGTCTCTTATTGAGCTGAAGGAAAAAAACCAATAAATTTTCTCAGACAATCACGAGAACTTCATGAACTATTTTCTAATAAAAGCTGGTTCTAGCATATTCATTCAATATAAAATGCAAAGTTCTTAAAATGTAATATTTACCTATAAAACACAAATAAAAGAATGTGTTTGTTGCAATGGAATGTGTTCACTTGAATTGTTACTGATATTCATTTATCCAACCTATCACTATATAAGTAAGCTCTTCTATTGTCAGAAAAACCATACATTTCCACATCTATTTTTAAAAACAATAATTAGAGCTACTTTAGCAAATCTAAATTGTAACAATGCATAGCTCGTTTTTTTTCTGACAATATTGCAAATGTCCCAGAATTCAAATCTAGCCCCTTGATCATCAAGGAAGACAGGAAGGAAGGCAGAAGATAGATAATTATATTTGAGGGACGGTCAAGATAAATGTGCCCTATGAAACTATTTATGCCTACTTATAGTAATTTAAAACCATTCCTTTGAGAATAAGAAGAAATTCAGTTAATTACTTAAAAAAAAAACTTGAAATAACACCAAAGGAAGCCATTCTAAAGGTAGATCCTGAAATACTAAGGGTAAATATCCTTACCTAGTGACACCAAGTTACTATAGTTCTCCAACATCACATCTCTGTACAAATCTCTTTGAGCAAAGTCCAGGCATTCCCACTCTTCTTGAGAGAAGTCAATTGCAACATCCCTGAACATTACCGATCTCTGAAACAACAAACATAATACTAGTAGTGGAAATAAAGAAGATGCTTTTTCAATGGAGGAGGAAATGATGGGGAGCTCGCCACAAAAGAGGCAACAAAGCAAATAAGCTAGGAAGCTCTGAAATGGATGAGACACCACAGAAACAGGTGCTTCTGAAGTGCCAACATGTTCCTTTATTCCTGTATATAGAACATTTCATTACATATAAGTCAGGAAATTAATGAATTAAATAAAATTTAAATGAAATGTCCCAATTAAAAGACACAGCATACAGAACCATCCTGTGTAATATGTATCTTGTACATCATACATTCTCAATAAATGAAAATTTCTTTTTCTATTTAAAAAAAAAAAAAGAAAAATTGGGTAAATATTTCTGTAAAGTCTTACAAAATATCCATCATACAAAATAAGATTTGCATAAAAATAAATAATTTATTGATACTTCAGTTTATCATATCAGAATATTAAGTCACAAGCATTTTCCTTTTTACCCATAATTTAGTAAATATTTTTAATACGCTGTAGAATTGCTCCATATAAAGAAAACAGGTTATACAAAAAACCATAAGCATTTCTTGCTTTAGGGAGTTTATATTTCTCAACAAATTTTACATGTGAATAATGATCATTATTGTTACTATTAATCATATAAATATACCTTGGTCTTGTTCTAAGCAATAGAAAGATGGAAAAGATAATCCAAACTTACACATTTAAGATTAGCATATAACATTGAATCTAAAAAGGAACCATATTATTGTACCAATTATGGATTCCCAGGGAAGATCTCTGATCTCTCTGTATTTAATTCCTAATCACGTTCCCAACCTTAAAAGCTTACGGCATAGGTTCTTGCCATGTATGGATACTAAGCAGTCAAGACTAACTCCTATCTTGCCTAACTGAGAAACTTACATCTAAAGAGAAGTTCAAAGTTTTCTCATGTGTGGTACCATTTAACATCCTTCTTTATCTTCTAAAATCGGGAAGTCTGCTTTTGTTCTATCAGTGCTCCTAGTCAAAGATGCTCAATGGATTTTTGAATAAGGATATGAATATAGGTTAGATTAAAAAGACATTCTTAGGGAAGGCATTATTACTTCTAAGAATGGAATAAACCAAGGAGCACATTCCTGAGTTGGGTCAGTTAGAAAGGAAGTCTCAGGAATAAGGAATGCAAACATGTACATACTCTATAAAAAACGACTTAAGAGGGCACAAGAAAACACTAATTTACCTGAGCCATGGTTTTTAGAGCTGCAAGAAATGATCAGTCCTGTTCTGGATTCATATCTTAGAGAAGCACAGAATCTGAAAAAGGCAGTGCTGGGAAGGAGAATACAGAACCATGAGACCATGCTCTTTATAAATCTCCAAATGAGTTAAGTTAGAATTACCTTGGTTGCTCTCTTCTTCTGCTTCTTGCTCCCATTCCCAAAATACACACTAAGCAGGGGGAATATAGGTGGTGGTTCTTACCCCTGTCAAACTCAGTGCTCTCTATATACAAAAAGAAAATATTTATAAAAACTTCTCTATCATTTCTAAAATGAAAATTGTAGATAATGTGACACACTTATATACGTTATGGCAAAAACAGAGATAATGACCAACTGTTATATTTCAAAATATTGATGATCATACATACTACAGAAGGCACAAAAAATTAAATACTTATGCTTACAACTACTTAAAATGAACAAATTTAGATTTATAAAATAACAACGTTCAACTGAGTATTGTCAAAATATTTTATTTATATTTGACATTTTGAAATAAAGCCTACATGTTGTGTGAATGTGTATGTACAAATGTGTGTAGAATAAGTGAAATTCATTATCTATAAATGCAAGCATTTGTGTTGCCATTAGTGCCATGATTATTTAAAATTGTTTTTAAAAATCTCAGTAAATTTCTGCATAAAACAAAGTACAAACTTTCTCAAACAAACTATAGTACCATTCCTGAAACATTCAGCTAATAGTAAAACTGTGCAATAATGTAAAATAAATTCAGCAGTTTGAAAAAAAATCCTGTAAAATATGCTTTATGTGAGAGGTTCTAGACCCACATAATTATAAACACATTTTCCCCCAAGCTATGCTCGTCATTTTGCAGGTCATAGAATAATTCTTTGTTGTGCACTGCAGTAGATCTAGATCAGAAGCTGGCCAACTACTGCCTACCGACTATTTTTTGTAAATAAAGCTTTATTGGAATACCTCTACACTCATTTGTTTATTATATATTGTCTTTGGTTATTTTCACAATAAGTGGCAGTTGACTAGCTATCAGAGATTATATCGCTCAGAAAGCCTAAAATATTTACCACCTATCCCTTTATAGAAAAGCTGTATAACCTATGATCTAGGTCCATGGCTTGCTTCAGTCTTTCAAAAGCCAGAAGCCTTCACTCTCTGCCCAGTTATTTTAACATTCAAAAGCACCCAGATATATTTCTAAAACATCTTTTAGGGAGAGTCACTGCTCTTACAGAGAATCATTGATATAGATGCTCAATAAATATTTAATTAGAAATTCCACTTCTTCCAGATATTGGAAAGGTACAATAATTGTGCCCATTCTAAGAATCAAAAATAATTCATTTAAGATGAAAAATCATAATTCCTTTTAAATTCATCACAGAGCTGAAGACAAAAAGAAATTTAAATGAACTAAATTCCAAAAAGTGCCAACCTCCTCTTAAGAGATATAGATGCTCCCATACCTGGCAGGGCTTAACCTACATTACAATTACTTTAAATAGTCCAATCACTCCAGTAAAGAGACAATGTCAACATAAGATAAAAAAACAAGTTCCAACTATATGCTCTTTACAAAAAATGCACAGATGGGTTGAAAGTAAAATGGTAGAGAAAAATATACCTCACAAACACTAAGCATAAGAAAGCTTGTGTACTTGTATTAATATAAGGCAAAATAGACTTCAAGATGAAGAATAATACTAAAGAGGCTAAATTCATCAAGAAGACACACTAATCTTAAATGTATAGAGATTTAACAACAAAGCATCAAATATATAAAGCAAAAATTGACAGAACTAAAGGAAGAAATACACAAATCCACAGATTTGGAATTTTAACATCTTTCAGTAACTGTCAGAACAAGTAGATATTTTTAAATTAGTAATGATATAGAGGATTTATATAACATTATCAAAGTACCTTGATATAACTGATACTGTGGCAGCCTGACCCTGCCAGGCCATTTCCTGCTCGAACAAGTTCGTTCCTGACTGCCCTCCCACCCGCAAGGACTCTCTGGCTGATGTCAGTTTTCTCATAGCTTGCCAACCAATGTTCTTCCTTATATCTGTAGCTGTGTAGGAATGACAAGACTGTATAAAACTGCCCATTTTGTTACAATCGGGGCTCAGCCTTCGGAAAAGAATCCGCTGAGCTTGTGCTGGCATTAATAAATGCTGCTTCCTGTCGATAGCCTTGGGGTCTCGTCTCTCTGTTCAAGAATCTCGCAACATTTCTATACCCAACAGTCAAGATATGAGCTGACCTGCCAGTTGTCAGAAAAGCTGATTAAGACAACAAGGCAAAAGGAAAGTAACAGTCAAGCCTTTAATCAATTACTAATCACTTCATGTAAGCAAGAGAAAGCACTGACTCTCCCACAGCACCTAGAGAAGGTCAGGATCAGCACAAATGTGGGGAATCATCTCAGTGCCAAGCAAGTATCAAACAAAAGGTTCTCGAACAAGTTCGTTCCTGACTGCCCTCCCACCCGCAAGGACTCTCTGGCTGATGTCAGTTTTCTCATAGCTTGCCAACCAATGTTCTTCCTTATATCTGTAGCTGTGTAGGAATGACAAGACTGTATAAAACTGCCCATTTTGTTACAATCGGGGCTCAGCCTTCGGAAAAGAATCCGCTGAGCTTGTGCTGGCATTAATAAATGCTGCTTCCTGTCGATAGCCTTGGGGTCTCGTCTCTCTGTTCAAGAATCTCGCAACATTTCTATACCCAACAGTCAAGATATGAGCTGACCTGCCAGTTGTCAGAAAAGCTGATTAAGACAACAAGGCAAAAGGAAAGTAACAGTCAAGCCTTTAATCAATTACTAATCACTTCATGTAAGCAAGAGAAAGCACTGACTCTCCCACAGCACCTAGAGAAGGTCAGGATCAGCACAAATGTGGGGAATCATCTCAGTGCCAAGCAAGTATCAAACAAAAGGTTCCTCCCATTTCATGGACCAGGGCCACTGAGAGGGAGATAGGAGAAGGGCTAGGAGTAGAAAAGAACTGAGTACTAAGTGGAGCAAAAGTGTATTCAAGTTTTCCCCCTTACCTTTAATAAGTAACTCTCGGCAGAGGTTCCTGATAAAGAGGTAACCTAATGGAGGTAGTTGGGCTAGGAATGCAGATAGTCTTAAAAGCATGTGGCCGGGGGTGGGGGAGGGGGGCTGAGACCTTGACTACAGCTCTCTTAGATTACAATGTAATGGCTATGCACTAATCTGATGTGGGGAGGTAACAAGTATCAAAAATATTTTAAAACAGAATCATACAGATTATATTTTCTGGTCTTTGTCTATACATTATTATACTAGAAACCAATAATAATAAGAGGTCTAGAAGAATCTCCAAATATTTGCAAATTAAGCACATTTCTAAATAACCCATAAGAAGAAATCACAAAACATTAGAGAATATGTTAAAATGAAAACATAACTTATCAAATTTTGTGGGCTGTAGCAAAAGCAGCACTTAAAGAAAAATTTATAGCTTTAAATGTTTATATTAGAAAAAGAGGAAGATGTAACATCAATGACTTAGACTCCCACCTTAAGGAGCTGAAAAAAAAAGTGAAGCCCAAAGTAGAAGAAAAAACATAATAAAACAAAATCCACAATATAAAATAGATTTCAATAGACAATATCAACAAAGTCAAAAATAGGTTCATTAAAAAGATTCATATACAGTTGGCCTTCCATATCCACAGGTTCGTATCTGTGGATTCGACCAACCTTCAACCAAACGTGAATCGAAAACATTTGGAAAAAAAAGTTACATTGGTGCTAACATGTACTATTAGATTAGGCCTACAATAGTTGTGTCTGTACTGAACATGCACAGAATTGCCTAATATTAAAGGAATTGAATTTTGGTAAAATAAAACATCCTGCCCACAGAGATGGTCCACATGGCTTCATCAGTAAGTCCTATCAACATTAAAAAGGCTTTCTCAAATTTTTTCAGAAAATAGGAAAAGAAGAACACTCTCTTCTACATTTTGAAGCTAAATAACCATGACACCAAAACCTGACAAAAATATTACAAGAAAAAAAAATAGAGTTCAATATTTCTCATGAACATAAATGTGCAAAAAAACTGATATAGTATCAAACTGAATCCATTTGACTTTAGAACCATGAGTTCTTATATAAGACAAAAATAAATCAAGATTGTTAAAAAGTCCCTAATAACCAAAAGTAAACACACTTATCTGTTCATAATACTAACAAGGTAAATAAAGAAAGGAAGTGGTTATTTCAAGGAGCTTTAAAATAAGTCATTTACTAGCAGTTACCAGAGGGTGAGAGGAGGGCCGTGGGGGGAGGTGGACGGGGGTTGGGGGAGAGATTTAAATCATTTCTTCTATTAAAAAATTAATTAATTTAAAAAAATAAAATAAAATAACAGTCATTTGACATTAGATCCCTAGTGGTATATAACCTACAGGCAAAATAACTACAAACTTTTAAAAAATTATTAATTTAAAAAAATAAAATAAAATAACAGTCATTTGACATTAGATCCCTAGTGGTATATAACCTATAGGCACAATAACTACAAACTTTCTCAATAATTACACTGCTACATAATATTAGCATTGTTAATCTAAAATATATATTCTGAAATGATTACGCACATATACAATGAGAATAACACGTGTACATAACTACCTTAATATTAAGAATAAAGATTTTCAGAGCACAAAAAAACCCCCACAAATTTAAAAATTCAAGAAAAACTCTATATAATCTTTAAATTCAACTGGAAATGAAAATAAATAAATTCAATTGGAAATGTCAGCATAAACTCAGGATTTTTCTACTTCTAAAAAATATGTATTTAACCAGCTCTGTAAAGGACTACGAGCAATAACAACCAGAAGCACTGAGAACTTCTACTGTCCTAACTGTGGCTTCTTAAAACCACTTCCTACTAAAAGGAACCAGAGCTACATAGACAAGTGGCTGATTTCATGTTTGGGAGAGGAAAACGTACATGATGAACCTAGAACTTCTTTTCACATCAGAAAGTTTGGAATCTACCAAAGATTATTGAGGTCGTGCCAAAAGGAATTCAAAAAGAGCCAAATCAGAGAAGGTATTAAGAGGATCCCACTGGCCATAGATTGACAATTTGAAGATTAAGAACAATAACTGCTAAGAACTGAAACATATCAAATATATTTAAATCCACAAGTTCATAATAATAACTTAAAAGGAAAACACAAGAT